CCCACACTTAACTGCCAATATTTTTTTATTATGAGTGACAGAATGAAGTCTCCTTAATGCTTGTATTCAAGCTCCAGCATGTCGACATATCTTTCAGCTAACACTAAAAGCATTATCTTCAGGAATATAAATTCCTTCCTAGCTCATTACAAGAGCTGTTTAGCACTCCTAATCATCTCCTGATCTATTGCGTAGTCGCACAGCGGTATCTTTGTCTCCCTTCTGTATCATCTGCACATTACGCTTGACCTTCCTATGACATGACCCTTTCCAATTACTGCATGGACAGAGATTAAACTTTGGCTACCCCGTAACAGAAACACCTAGATGCATCAGGTTCCAGGGAAGAGAGCCAGAAGGAAACAAGTAGGCAAGGGAAGATTAAGCTTCTCAAGAAGAGCGCTAGCTAAAGGCAGCAAGCCAACATGCTTCAGAAGAGGCATGGAAAAAAGCTAGTCCCAGAAGATGATGGGTTATTGAGATGTTTGGTTTGACATGAATTTCCTTAGCAATTCTGTCTTGGTGGAATAAGTCCTGAGGTAGTGCCTGCTCATCTTTATTATTATGTAACCTTCATTAAAAAAGTTTAACAAACAAAACTGCACAGAACAAGATTTAAAGTGAGAAGTAAGACTACCATCAGTGCAAGCAATCACATTAAGGAAAAATAGAGCTGTCACATGGGGTGGCAAGAGAGGGGCAGGGAAAGTTGCACAACAGCTTTTCACAAAGCGTTCTTTATAGAGATCAGCTGCATCTTCTAGAATAGATATTAGTAAGTGGGTGAGGACAGATGCACTCAAGACAAGTAAAACCCAGACATTATTAAGCCATCCTTATAGATAAACATTAAATAAGGCCTTATCCCACCCCACAAATGGCATTCTCACAGCACGTCCTGCTACAGATTAAGGAGCACTTAAATGGAAAAAATGGAAATACCTTCTCCTACTGAGGCATCCCGGTTTTCCTTTTTTTAAAACTACAAATCTGGCAAGAATACAGCCCCATTGCTATGAACTGAAAGACATACACTTTTTTGTACATCCTGAGGCTCCCTGGGAAAAGCTGTACAGGCTTCCAGAACACAGACCTAAAGTTTACACCTCAATTTAGACAACACACAAAGTATGTATCTCACACCAGTGTCTTATTTTTGCAGTACTCAAAGTATCACAATGCACTTTATTTTCTCAGGACATTAGCTCACCTGTGTGAATTCAAAACTTCCCATGCTATGCCTTAAAACATAATTAAGGCCATAGGTTATGTGAACAAAAAGTAAATTCACACTAGGTTTTGAAGTTGTGTATTTGTTGGAACAAGACCTATTGTTTTACACCTATAAGCACATCAACAATATTAAACAAGACAGTAAGCACTTTACAGTAATACAGGCCTTAAGGTTTTTTTTTGGAAATAATGTCAAAGCTGAAGGAAAGTATGGAAACATTTCCCCTCCTCTTTGCCTCCCCCCTAAGGGGAACACTAATTTTTATTTTTGTAATTGTCAATCCAGCCACCATAAAACTTAAAAAAGAGCTGAACATAAGACTTGCATAGATTATTTTTTTGATTTTTTTTTTTAGGCCAAAGACTCTCCATTCACTGTTTGGTGTTTGGACAGCTAACAAGTTTCCCAAAGACTCTCCATTCACTGTTTGGCATGAAGACAGCTAACAAGTTTCACTGTAGATCTGTAATTCTTAAGAAAAAGAAAGAACCACACATTTGGTTTATCTAGTGAGCAAAGCTAATACACAGCTGTGATTTTTTTTTCACTCAAGTACTGGAAGTCTTCTGGGAAAGACTTCTTTGTGCTTTGGTTAAGAACTTACAAATCAAAAGCCTAATATGATCCTTTTGCAGAATTACATTCCTGGAAATGCATACGGTATTGGGTGCCATGTCCTTCTGATAGAAGGCAAAATTTATGAGAATAACATTCATGAAAAAACCCAGAAGCCAGTTCTGAAAGGATAAGAGTGACACCCACTAACGTTGGTGGATTTTTAAATATTTTTTTAAATCTGGGCACGACATCCTCTTATATTTTCTCCTCCCCTCCCTCCCCCCCAAATAAGCCTGTAAAGTAACTTCAACATTTGTAAAATGAAAACTTTTGCAGGCATGAACAGTTTAAGAGAGAAACATGAGCCAACGCAGTTTTCTACTGGTGCAGAGTTACTTTACAAACTAGATGTGAGAGCAGGCACCATCCCTCAAGAACTCATGCATGAACAACAAGCAAATGATTACAGGCAACTTTTTTTTTTTAAGCTTCATTCTCCCTGCGTACTTGAGGTCTAGTGAAAACTGTATGTGTTGGTAAAGCTGATCATTTTGTCTAAAGTGCTTGATGAAAGCAGGGAAACTATAAAAATGATAAATTAGTGAAACCAAAAGTGGAAGAGTTACATTTATCACACAAAACAAGAAAAATTGGAGCATTTTCACATTTTCTTCTTCCACTAGACAAGATACAGCAAAAAGATCCTTCACAGTGAAGAGCTCCCTTAAAGTGTATATAGTTCATAACATTTTTTCTTACATTTCTGGGATAAGAAATCATTTGACATAAGACTCAGGAACAATATTCCAAAAAAGAAAGTATTATTATGGCTAAGAAATGAAGGTTACATAGCAAGTTTTAGTCATTCAGAAAAAAAATCTTTGGGAAAATGCTATTTAATACTTTCAATAACTTTAAATGCCCCGATACTATATATTTTTACAGTAGAAATGCAAGAGCCTTTGGAACGCAGCAATGCTTGGTTCTGTGCATGTCTTCTCTTAAGACATCATCTTTTTCTTACATTCCACTGAGCAAAAGACCATTCCTTCCACCGGCATGAACTTCTGGCCAATTAGACACTTGCTGCAACAGGAACACAAGAAGCATTCCTGCGTAGCATGCCAGTTGAAGTTGTTGTATGTCACACGCTGAACTTCTGGATCTATAGCATTATGACAGCCTTGGCAGGTCTGTTTAGAAACAAAACGACACTTAAATGAAGAATACATATCCCCTCTACAAGTCCAATAAAAGCTAGAATTCTTAAATGTTGTTGGAAAAGAGAAATGGGTGTTAAAAAAAAAGCCGTTGAAATAAGTCTCCAGCTTTTGATTTTTCTTTATTTCTGGAAAGTTGCCTGTCGGAAAAGGACCTGGGGGTGCTGAT